AAAGGAAGTTGTCTCTTTCACCTACCTATCTAGGCAGCGTCGTCTCAACTACAGGCGGCACACACACACATGAGGATGTCAAAGCAGTCAGGATCGGAAAGACAGCAGGACAGGTAGGCCTTCATTAACCTAAAATCAGTGTGGAGATCTACTGCACTCAACATAAAGCGTGAACAAGATCCGGATTTTCAACGCGAATTCAGTCAAGTCAGTCAGTACTTCTATGTGATGGTTGAGAGACTTGGCGCGTTACGAAAAGCATTTCCAACAGACTGCAGACATGCATCAACAGCTGCCGCCTACGCTCACTCACTCGATACTGAAGATCAGATAGATGGCCAGAATAATAAGAATAAGTAACAAGAAACTCACTCTGGCTTGCAACGAACCAACCAGGAACCTATCGCCAAACAAATTTGCAGAAGCAGGAAGTGGAGATGGATTAGATTGGATTGGACATACACTGAGAAGACTGTTTGGAGACATCATACGCCAGGTCAGGCAGTCGAGTGGAACCCAAAGGGACAAACGATGAGTTGGGCGTCGGAGGGTCACATGGAGGAGATCGTGTGAGGACGAAATGAAAGCTTCTGGGCAGTGGTGGAGGCAGGTTTAAGAGACTGCAGAGAATAGAGTGAAATGGCGACGTGCTACTGAAGCCCTATGTTCCACTGAGAGCCCAAGGGACAAATAATAATAATAACAATAATAGTAATTATAATAACAGGAATAATAATAATAATGAACTATTTTTCATGTTGTGACAATTGAGATCAGCCACTTTTGATGCATGCGTTGTGTGACTTGTGTAAATATGGATTCAGTCATCAACCTTTCTTCCCATTTGTTCATGCTGAACTTTAAGGTTTCAAGATTGTCACAGTCAACATTACGTTTTTCATCCCACCCATATACTGCTATGGATTAACTTAGTTCTAAATTTTTATACTCTTGTGTCCCTGTGACCTGATCTTCAGTTAATCGTCGAAGACTATGCAGTCTGATATTGAGTGATCTTGACGTTTGACCTACATAGTTAACTGGGCAGTCAGAACAAGGCATTTTGCATATGACATTGTTTTTGTCCGATTTTTTCACTGGATCTTGTGGTTGGCTGAATTTATTTTTGATGAGGTGCATGAGCTTGAAGCCCATTTAATGCAGTTCGAATACCCACTCTTCTGAAATTCTTTTGCATTGACTCCAATGTACTTTTCCCATATGGCAGTACTTTTACGTGTCTCCCTTTTCTCAGTATTATCTCTATTGAGCTGTTCAAGCTAGTAATCTTTTAAATAACATTTTAAATCGAATGCTTATTTCTTTTCTCTGATCATCAAAATATTGTTGTCGACATTTTGCTAGACTCTTTATCGAACCTCCTTTTACACTGAGCGGATGTGCTGAGTGGTAATCCAGAAACCTTCGAGAGTCTTCAGGTTTTCATTACATAGTGGTCCTGAACTTGAAACTTTCATCTATCATTCTTTGTATATTACAGTCTGACATTCGTAGTTCTCTCAATTTATTTTCTATTTCCATAGTGAACTGAATTGAGTCTAAATGACCGTTTATATGTACATGGAAACAGTCAATATCCTTCTTCTCTGTTATGACCAGTGTGTCATTCAAATAGCTTCACCAAATTTTGACTGAAGACATGTATGACTTTAGGGCTTTTTCTTCCTGAAAATCCATGAATATGTCGGCGATTATTGGTGAGATGGTTGACCACTCCACAGTTATTTTTCCATAATCCACTAATTTTCAAGGGTTTTAGTTACCTAAAACCCATGGGATCTGAATATCGACACACATATATGGACTTTCCAAAACGTATAAAGCTAATAATTCACTCCTTCCAATATTATCTATATGTCGGTCATTCACATATGAACTAGCAAAGTGGTTGTCAATACTTTTGAATCCTATAAGAAGTTTAGTTTGGTAGTCTTTCTTGAAAGATACATTTAAACTTATCATTTGACTATCAAAAATAGACGTGATTTGGCAGACTGGTGATTGAAGTGAAATAAAAATCTGGTCAGTATTCGGACCTCGTAGCTCAGTAGGCAGAGCACCGGGACGGTAACCTGGTGGCTTATTAATATTATGCACTGCTAACGTCTAGTTCAAATTCGAAGGTGAATACTTTCGACAAATGAATGGTAATGCTCTGTTTAGTCTTTTAGGACCCCTGTTGGCTGGTGTGTATATATCATACGTGGAAGAGTTAGTCGGAGATTTGATTGGAAACGTTTCCTCCTATAAGAGATATGTTGACGACATTACTGTTATTTGTGAAAGACCTGAGGAGGCAATTCGCTTATTAGAGAAAATGAATAATACATAAACCCACATTAGCCTCCCTTACAAATAAGGGATAGACAGAAAACTAGCATTTTTAGAAATGCTGGTTAGTCGAAGGGAGAACGGCTCAATCAGAACATCTATCTATAGGAAGCCGACTTGGATAGGAAAACACCTTAGTTTTCATAGTTTTTATCTAGTCCAATACAAATGTGGCTTAGTCAGCTGTGTATTTAATGGAGTTGATCGTATTTACACAGAAGATACAAAAGAAAGAGAAGCTAAATTGCTGACGGATACTTTGGTGCAAAATGGATATCCACTAAAATTTATAAACAGATTTAAAATCGGTACAACATTGAGACTGATTAATCAGTATTCTGTCCCTAAGAAAAATATGTATATCACATTATTATACACGGGCGAATTAAATAACCTAATCTTGAAGAAGACACATATATCACTTGTTAGGATGACGTACTTTATGGCCAACGTTATCTTAGTGAAGAAGACAAAGCCCATGTTTCAACACAAACCTAAATAGCGTTTGGACAAGGGTATCACATCCCACTGTGTCTATCAATTCATAACTATGTGTGGATACACATACACAGGGAGGAGTAATCGTGATATACAGTTAAGAATGATTGAAAATGTGCCTGGGTGGCTCCAGAAACAAATAATCTTTGATGATTTGATAAGTGCAGACGATTGCAAAGTATATTAGAAAGTGATTATAAGGTTTCTATGACGACAGCCTTTACTGTACTGTACAGATATGGTGAAGGACGAATAATGAAATTTATTGAAGCACTTGCTATCCACAAATTCAAACACCTTTGCGTATTCGAAAATCATTTACACTCACAGTAAACCTACCCTGGTAGTATTGAGTTCAACTCTTCATTCTGTTGTTGGTGTTGATCTGAGCTTTTTTTCCTCTCCTGTTTTCCTTTTACTCCTATTATCTTTCTAGATCATGAATCCGTTATTTTCATTACTCTTTCTCAGTTTTTATATAAATTATTCTACAGGTTAATGTGTGGTCAGATTGTTTGAAATGTCTAGCGCTAATACATCACATATTTCGATAATTTCCGCCCGCACACTGAGCTGTTTAAATTAACTCTGTAGCAAGCAACCACCTGATGTTGCAGAAATTTAGATGTACTTCTAGTGCCAGAAGTTTGTTGGCAGTCGAATGATTTTTCGATAGTTTAGACTAAACTCTAATGATGACAGTGAGTGACATCTTTTGGAGAACGCACACGGTTCATTCGTGTTGGATATAATCTGGCTTTTTTTGAATCGAGGCATCGCAACGATCTTCGGGTACGCATAGTTCATCAGATAATTGCTGCCTTCCTAAATTATAGGGCGACACCCTCTGTTCTACTATTAAATGTACAGTTCTACCCGTGCAACTTTTTTAGATTCTCGAAGAGGACACATCACAAACCTGGTTGACATGGTGGTACTTGACACTGTACCTAATATTTCTCTCATAAACAGTAGATGGCTTCAAAGTAGGGTCATTCAAAAGACGGTTACTGCCAAAGGCATTCATGTACTTACTTCTAGACTACCGGACAGATAGCGCTGTAGGTCACATTCTCTAGCATCCGGAAAACATTTTAATTGGTTCAAACAAACTTTTGTCCAGTCAATGACCATCCAGTGTGCTTACAAGGAGATATGGCAACAAGTATGACAATTAATTCCCAAAAACTTCGGTTTCATATAGGACGATCACCTATTCAGAAAGCTTTGAATACAGCCATCAGTTATGTGGTAGTTGTTTACACTTGACGCGAAAACTTCGATACTTCACTCCTTATAGGGGAACTAATATGAATAGTGTGTGCTCTCTTACAAACGTTCACTTTAATTTCCTGGGTCTCGACTGGTTCGAAAGTCTCAATTTGATATTATTAATATGGAAGCAGGTACAAACTCAATGAATTTCAATTGTCAACATTCTTATTTAACTTTGTTAAGGATATATTAGTGAATGTAACCCTATCCAGCTACCATATCTCAGGAATTGATTTACAACTTGGAGTTAGGTTAAAATTCTTGAATAAAAAAGTTATGTTAGTCAATGAATATGCTAACGTTTATCGAATGAGATAGTCTAAATATGTTATTCATACCAAAATATAATCCACTGTTAGCCGAATTAGAACTAGGTTATTAGAAAGGTAAGGATGACCAGACCAATATCTCATAATAATCAATGAAGACTGTTGCATTAAGCTGTACAGGGGATGTAAGGTTCCTAATAGGGGTCCTGAAGATGTCATGAATAGACAATTAAGAACTCTTGGTGATATGGCTGATGGCGTAGTAAACGAGCTCGTACGCTGCTTCAGATTGCAACATTCAATACAGCTAACCGGTCCTATCGTTAGATTTTGTTAAGCAAACACTATGAAAGGAAGGGAATCCATTCAAGTGATGAAATAAGTACTCATGTAAGAGGTTTAAAGCACACGAAAGGAAATGATTTCATTCAGCAGTTTTCCCTGCTCTTGCATTATAGAAGTATACCTGGATACTTTTATTCATGCAAGTTAACACGCTTTTAACACAGAAACTTAATGAGCAACTTGATGTGAACGGTAAAACTATTACAGATGATAAAATGAATCACAATACTGTTTAAAATATATGAAACAAAGTAAACTTACTTCAGGTTGTAAAATCGCTTCTACTTCGCCAACATCAAGGTAATCGTCTCCATTCAAATCTGTTTTATAGTTTTAAAAAAGTGGAAACAATCACAATAGGCAGATAACAATAAAAATGATAATAACAATGTAAAATTAACCCGTTACATAAACATGTACCCTGTGAAGCTACATATACTCTATTTCTTAGAGGAATAACAATGCTACACGGTTTCTGAAGTCAAAATAGGTGGAAAAGGGTATGAACCCGAGACATATTGTTTGAATGTCGAGTTCCTGAGCCAATGAGCTACACCTGCATAGTACGCAGGAGAAACAATAAATTTTCAAGCCGATTTTATTTATTGGTCAGATTAAAAAAGGTAGTGTATGGTTCACTACTATAAAAACATTCTTAGCAACCCAGTATGGATGATGTAATATTTGATGAACCCAAAGCGAAAGGCTAACATCTTCCATTGGTATATGGTTTACCCAAAATTCATAAACCTAGTGTATCTTTGAGTCCTGCGATGTCAGTGAATAACTCACCATGTCACAAGTTTACCAAATGGTTGGCGCAATCTTTAGAGGCTATTCGGAGTAAGTTGGCGATCTACAGTTTAAAAGACATTTCAATGCTCAAACGAAACAGATTCTGTCAAAGTTTCAGATAAGCTCATAGTTTTATACGATGTGACATACCTATTTGCAGATATACCAGTGAGTGGAAAGATTGGTATAATTTATCAACAAACTGATCTCCTGCCGCTGCCTGAAATCCAGATGAAACAGCTACTACTGCATTGCACCAAAGGTGTCCAGTTCCAATTCAATAACCAGCTTAATCGACAGATTGATGGAATGACCATAGATTGGCCTCCAGAACATTTCCTGACAGATATTTTTATGGATTATCTAGAATAGGCTCGCCTCAGTTCAATCATTGGAGGAAAAGCTTATTAGTAAAGGTACCTTGATGATACGTTTATCGTTTGTGATGATATGAACCATGAAACTCAGCTATTCAACAAGCTTTATGAGGTTTGTTCCAAGATTAAATTTACGATGAAATAAGATCATGACAACAAGTTCAATTCTTTTGATCTGAACTTGTAACGAAGATATGATGCTGAGATTAACTAGACCATCCACAGAAAAGATACATAAACTGGAAAGTACATTAATCACCACAGTTTGTTCTGTCCTGGCTAGTCAAAACACTTTACAGCAAAGCTAGAAACTCTGTTCTGCGGACAAGTTAGAGGAACAACTCAACATCATTAAAAGTGTCTCAGAATGAATGAATATACTCAGAGATTCATTATGAAGTATGGAAAAGAATAGGTCGAGGGATATAAGCACCCAACCGTTGGAAAGAAAAAGGTTTTTATTCGCATTCGGAGTAAGAGAAATGTCATATCCGAAAGAATAAATACGAGAATAAAAGCAGACTTAAAAAAAGTTTTCCTATAGCCGAACTTGTAACAGTATACTATACCATATGCTGACTGAACCAGTTCAAATTGAGTGAATATCCTACGCAAGTCATCTCCGACTGCACTTTTAAATTTACATACACTTGGGGTAGCAAGTGGATTGCAGGGATTGAGATGATGACATCTATTCGGTTTGTTGAACATACTCCGCGGAATTTATCCCGGAAAAAAAGCATGACTTTAACGAGTGCAGTTAACTTACACTTCATACATAACAGAACCTAGCCTGGTTAAATAGTTACTAGCCGATCAAAACAAGGGTACAGAGGGAAGGTCGGCCATACGAATAGAAACCCTACCCCGTAAAACCAATCAGATCGCTAAAAAAAAACTTCTAAGCACAAAGAAAATATAAAAAACAAAAACAAAATTATTTCTAGCTGCAATCGAAGAGTCGAAAGAACGCCAGTTCGTGAAAGCCTTCAAGAAGCCAACCGGCTGATGGGTCTCCTCTCTCACGATGAAAACAAAAGTAAACATGGGGACATGGAATGTCCGCACTATGTTTGAACCTAGCAAGGCTGTCCAGATTGCAAAAGAAATGAGAACATATGGCACAGAAGTGCTAGGAATCTGCGACACCACATAGAATGGAAGTGAACTCTGCAAACTGTCAACTGGAGAGGAGTCAATAGTATACTCACATATTGTCACCCAGACGACAACCACAAACGAGCACACTGAGTTTTCGAGTGGCTATCATGATATCACCAACAGTATCGAAGGCTCTCAGGCAATGGGAACCAATCTCCTTCTACACCACGATAATGACAGCAAGGTTCAACTCAAAAGGAACGAAAGTCACAATCATACAATGCTATGCTATGCACCTACAAATAATGCAGATCAAGAAAAGAAGGAGAAATTCTACAGACAACTGCAATCAGTACTGGACAAAACCCCTACCCAGTTGGCGACATCAAAATTCATTCTAATGGGTGGAGTGACATGAATTCCAAACTGCGTGGAGCGGACAACACAGGAAGAGAACTAATCATGGGTCGAGAGATACTCGGTGAAATGATGAATGAGAATGGAGAACTGTTTACAGAATTCTGTGCATTCAACGTTTTGGTGATTCGAGGCACTGTATTCAAGCACAAGGATATCCACAAAGCGACAAGGTTTTCTCCAGACACCAGGACACACTAAAAATCAGATCGACTTCATTCAAATCTGAAGAAAGTGGAGACGCAGTCTACTGAACACAAGATTAAGAAGAGTAGCAGATGCAGGTTCACATCACTCACCGTCTAGTGCAAGGAATCTACCCTCGAAATCAAGTTGAAAGCCTTCAATTCAAAGAAGTTGGTGATAGACCACAGTCCAAGTTTAACACCCAGAACAAAAACTGAAGGACGAAACTACAAAGGACATCTTCACGTCAACCAACCATCAGGAAAAACTGGAACACATTAGGCAACATCCCCGAGGAAACCTGCGTGGAAGAACACTGGAACTCTTTGAAAGAGACGTGGAAGGAAACCTGCATAACCGGGTTAGGAAGGACAAAAGAAACCAGACAAGGAATGAATCTCAACGGACACATGGAAGCTGACAGAGCAGGGAGAGGAAGATGGTGAAGTAGAAGATGAACCAGTGCAGTGCAGTGCAGTGCAGGGATGAACAAGAAAAAGAGGAACTGAGTACAGTACAACCTATAAAACACTACACTGGACAAAGAAGTGAAAAAGAGTGCGCGTAAAGACAAAAGACACTTCTACGACACACTGGCAAATGAAGCAGAACAGGCTGCAGCTAGGAGAGACAGAGACCTGACAACATTATATCAAATAACCAGGTTACTATCTGCGAGGGAAGAGATCAACACAGATGAAACCAATGAAAGATAGTGAAGGAAAGCTAGTTACCAAAGAGGAGAAACAAAGCACTGACCACTTCAAAAAACTCTTGAATCGACCACCACCACCACCACCACCACCTGCAACTTGTTCAGTAATACAACCAGCAACCGCAGAATTACCAGTGAACACAAGCCCTTCGACAAAAGCAGAAGTGAAGATCGAAATGCCATAAAGTTGCTGAAATCCGGGGAGGCAGCATGACCAGATGGAATTCCGCCAGAAGCACTGAAAACAAACGCTGAGACTACAGTGGACATGCTCACACCACTACTGTACAAGGTTTGGAAGGAAGGAAGGAAGGGAGGAAACGTACCCACCGAGTGGAAGAAGGACTACCTTGTCAAACTCAACAAAGAACGGAGACCTAACTCTTTGCAAGAACAACAACTGGCGCAGAATCATACTCCCGTCCACCACAAGCAAAATAGTAGGCCACATCATCCTGGAGAGACTAAAATGCCTTGGACTCAAAATTACAACCGGAACAGGCTGGATTCAGGAAAAACAAATCATGTGCAGATCAAACTGCAACGCTACACTACGCATTATCATAGAATCATAACATCAGCATAGAATGGCAGTCAATTCTCTACCTTACCTCAACTTCATCGACTTTGAAAAGGCCTTCGACAGAATCGACCGAGAAGTAATTTGGCAGGCAGCTGCTTCAGCACTACGGTTTCAGTGCCACAACCCTTCATCAACGTCATTCAACAGCTATACGATGATTATGATGCTACATGCCTAGTGATTGACAATGGAAAGAAAGCTCAGTGATGCCTCTGAAGTGAAGACAGGCAGGAGTAAGACAAGGTTGCCTACTATCACCCATAATCTTTCTTATTGTGGTCGACCGGACCAGATCATGCAACAAACTGTGATGAGTGAGAAGATAGGCATACACTGTTTAACCGATGAAAAGAGCCTACAAGATTTGGATTTCGTCGATGACGATTTATGTCTAATGTCTTGTCACACAAACTCGAAGATCTACAGGCAATTACCAACAAGTTGGCAGAAGAGGCAGCCAAGACGGGACTTCCTTCAGGTGAACGAAGAGAAGACAGAGATGATCAAGATACCCAACCACCACCACCACCAACAACAACAAACAAACAAACAAACAAACAATAATCACCATGAACAGGGAAAATCTAAAGGAAGTTGTCTCTTTCACCTACCTATCTAGGCAGCGTCGTCTCAACTACAGGCGGCACACACACACATGAGGATGTCAAAGCAGTCAGGATCGGAAAGACAGCAGGACAGGCAGGCCTTCATTAACCTAAAATCAGTGTGGAGATCTACTGCACTCAACATAAAGCGTGAACAAGATCCGGATTTTCAACGCGAATTCAGTCAAGTCAGTCAGTACTTCTATGTGATGGTTGAGAGACTTGGCGCGTTACGAAAAGCATTTCCAACAGACTGCAGACATGCATCAACAGCTGCCGCCTACGCTCACTCACTCGATACTGAAGATCAGATAGATGGCCAGAATAATAAGAATAAGTAACAAGAAACTCACTCTGGCTTGCAACGAACCAACCAGGAACCTATCGCCAAACAAATTTGCAGAAGCAGGAAGTGGAGATGGATTAGATTGGATTGGACATACACTGAGAAGACTGTTTGGAGACATCATACGCCAGGTCAGGCAGTCGAGTGGAACCCAAAGGGACAAACGATGAGTTGGGCGTCGGAGGGTCACATGGAGGAGATCGTGTGAGGACGAAATGAAAGCTTCTGGGCAGTGGTGGAGGCAGGTTTAAGAGACTGCAGAGAATAGAGTGAAATGGCGACGTGCTACTGAAGCCCTATGTTCCACTGAGAGCCCAAGGGACAAATATTAAATAGGTGAAGATATATAGTAAATTTTGACATGATTTGTATCTACACAGACGCTTACCAACATCAGAAAATAAAGTTCGGGGGTTGAAAGATTTTTTGTCCATACCCTCGAATTTCTCCCAATATTCTTTAAGCTGTTCACCACTTCCCTATTTGAGAAATATTGAGAAGAGAGAACAAAAGAAACGGTTCTTTTTACTCGAAGGAATATATATATATATATATATATATATATATATATATATATATATATATATATATATATATATATATATATATATATGGCAACAAGTGACATCGTTACACGTGAAGGTGAAAATTAACTCAATTAATAAATATTTCTACATCTTACTATGAAATAAGCATTTATGATTATGATTTGTCTAAGGGCTCAGTGTAAAAGGAGGTTCGATAAGGAGTCTAGCAAATATGTCGACAACAATATTTTGATGATCAGAGAAAAGAAATAAGCATTCGATTTAAAATGTTATTTAAAAGATTACTAGCTTGAACAGCTCAATAGAGATAATACTGAGAAAAGGGAGACACGTAAAAGTACTGCCATATGGGAAAAGTACATTGGAGTCAATGCAAAAGAATTTCAGAAGAGTGGGTATTCGAACTGCATTAAATGGGCTTCAAGCTCATGCACCTCATCAAAAATAAATTCAGCCAACCACAAGATCCAGTGAAAAAATCGGACAAAAACAATGTCATATGCAAAATGCCTTGTTCTGACTGCCCAGTTAACTATGTAGGTCAAACGTCAAGATCACTCAATATCAGACTGCATAGACATCGACGATTAACTGAAGATCAGGTCACAGGGACACAAGAGTATAAAAATTTAGAACTAAGTTAATCCATAGCAGTATATGGGTGGGATGAAAAACATAATGTTGACTGTGACAATCTTGAAACCTTAAAGTTCAGCATGAACAAATGGGAAGAAAGGTTGATGACTGAATCCATATTCACACAAGTCACACAACACATGCATCAAAAGTGGCTGATCTCAATTGTCACAACATGAAAAATAGCTTATTATTATTATTATGGTGGTGGTGGCCTTTGACAGAGTCGACCGAGAGGCAATTTGGAAGCTGCTTCAATACTACGGAATACTGCAAACCTTTATCAGCCTCATTCAACAACTATATGAAGATGCCACATGCCAGCCAAGTAATTCACAATAGAAAGCTCAGTGATGCTTTTGAAGTGAAGTGAAGACAGGAGTGAAACAAGGTTGCCTACTATCACCCATGATACTCCTGATTGTGGTCGACTGGATCATGCACCAGACAACAGTGGGGAGCGAGAAGAGGGGGATACGCTGACTGGACAGTGGAAAAGAACCTAGAAGACTTGGATTTCACCGATGACTTATGTCTGATGTCACACAAACTTGAAGATCTACAGGCAAAAACTAACAAGTTGGCAGAAAAGGCAAGACAGCGAAGGGAGACGGGACTTCAAGTGAATATAGAGAAGACAGAAGTGATGAAGATACCGCACCACCACCAACAACAACAAACTCCAACCACCATCACCATCAACGGGAGAAACTTAAAGGAAGTAACCTCCTTCACCTATCTAGGCAGCACTGTTTCAACTACAGGCGGGACGGACGAGGACGTCAAAGTCAGAATCGGAAAAGCAAGACAGGCGTTCATTAGCCTGAAACCAGTGTGGAGATCTTCTGCACTGCACTCAGCATGCGGAACAAGATACGGATTTTCAACACCAACGTCAAATCAGTGCTCTTGTATGGTTCAGAGACTTGGCGCGTTACGAAAGGGATTTCCAATCAACTACAAACATTCATCAACAACTGCTTACGCTGGCTCGCTACTGAAGATCAGATGGATTGCCAGAAAGAATAAGCAACAAGGAACTCTGGGAACGAACCAACCAAGAACCTATCGCTCAACAGATATGCAGAAGGAAGTGGAGATGGATTAAATTGGGCATACTGAGAAGGCCGACTGGGGACATCACGTGTCAGGCCCTCGAGTGGACCACTGATGGGAAGCGACGAGTTGGACGTCCGAGGCTATGGTGACATGGAGAAGATCGTGCGAAGAGGGAATGAGAGCTTGTGGGCTGTCGTGGAGCCAGGTCCAAAAGATTTCAGAGAACAGAGTGGAATGGAGACGTGCTACTGAAGCCCTATGTTCCATTAGGAACCCAAGGGATAAATAATAATTAAGAAATTTACATTACAGCTTTCAATATCATCTCCACATGTTTGAGAGCGATGTGAGTATCGTAACGAACGCAAATTTTCTCAAGGTTCAAGATAGACGCGCTCAGTAACAATGTGCATGTTCTTGCAGTAGGTAATGAAGCACACCTGTTGTGTGAGGGTTAGTGATACTACTTGGCTGCCAAACCTAGGTATGTGAAGCGGTGGTCGAACTCGTGATCCATTGGTTGAAAGCCAAATGCCTAAACCAATGGAGCCACAGACTTAGGGGTTCTGAAAGTAATTTCCAAGTTAATCTTCTGTGAATGAATCCAGTTTTCTAACCTAAAAACATGACAGTAAAATCTAACACTGTATTATTGATATGCTTTAACATAGAAAAAAATATTCAGCCATTATGTTTCGCGGACTCCTTTTATTACTTGTTACGATGACGAATAGGTTTTTTTGATTTCCTAGATGTGTAATAAATTGTGTCAAGTTGAACTATTCCACCTGTTAGGCATACTTTGACATCATCCTAAGTATTTATTCTTTTTAGTATAAACAGAGAATTGTCTAATGTATAGAGACGTACGCGATGAGATGCATGAAGTTACACTTCTTTATCTAGATGTTGACGCAAATGAAGTTAAAGCTTTCAAAGCATACAAACAGAATTTTTTGTGATAGACAAATATAAAATGTAATAAGGAAACATTTTTGATATCAACAGTAGTACACTGCTAGTATCTAAACTTACTGGTTGGTGAACTTTTGGACGTTTTTGGTGTTTTTCAAGTACCTTCTTATAATGCTCTATCAACTGGGAACGTTTTTCCTCGGGTAAGTCAAGGAATCTTTGTACTGTTTCATTTTTTTCTTTCTCTACATGGCCTTCGTATTGCTTGATTTGAAATAAATCCAGTTCTTTAAAGCGATCAATAGACTACAAAACATGATTAAAAACCTACAGTATAAATACTTGAATATAAAATGGAACGTCCAACTAACATACTTCTACGGCAATGTTTTTGAATATTCACTACAACTGAATACTAAGTCACTAACAGTACAACACTTCATTAATAAATCGTGAAAAGGAATTATTTTTTGTGGTACAAACGATACTTTCCAACTAATCAAAATTAGGTTGGTAAAGAAGATTAGTAAACTTGAGCGAATTGTTCCAATGCACGCATTTTTATCATCAAACTATATTACAAGCAGAGTAAACATAACTGAAACCCATCAAATGTAACCAAAAATAAATGTTGGGTAAAGAATGCATCAATAAACGATGTAAATATCAACAGATAAAAATAGACAGCAGTCATTAGCCTGAGCCAGCGAGCAATATCTCTGATACCAAACACATAGACGAGACATTGCTATAAAACCTCAACCAAAATGAGAAGTTGATAGAAGTATTATCAACCAGTGCACTACAAATCAGAAACTCTAAGTCACCCGTTTTCAGAAATTTTATGGATTCTGGTCTGCAATTACAGCCTACAACAGTCAAAGGAGTACCAACGATTAAAGAACGAGACGTATGTATCCCTTACTGGCCTTGATGCTCGACTTCTCTGGTTTGTAAACAAACCCAATCACAATAACCACAGCAGAATCAGGTTCACTAAAATACTGTCTACCATCCTACACTCCATAATCACGCAACGCGTGACAAGAACTAAAGAACAGAAAAATGAGAAAAACAAAGTACTCAGCAGGTTTGAATTGGTAAGTGCTGATTACACTTTCTTCATTTGTCGACTCCTGAGCTAAAAGGACAATTACCCACAACCCTACACTTGCTACATTTCTTCATATGAAGGTGACATGTATCTTTGTCAACCGATGGGTATTATAATACCATGATTGTAAACAGACTACCAAGAAAGTAGACCATTCTACTTAACACATTCTGATTAAACTCATGCAAATGTGCGAAGGTATGTGAAGACTGGTCATCTGACATGACAACAACCAACAGTATACGTTACCAAGGTCCACTACTGTTATTTTTCTCCAAACTTCATACAGTTCACTGACGGAAGTGATCTTAATTAACTCTGACTTTTAAGGACTCTTACAGCAGTATGAAGAAAATGTAGTCATGTTAGGTGACTTCATTACTGAAATACAAGATATTCTGTACGCTCTGAGGAAAATTTTGAATACGTTTGGCATGTGCGCTTCACATTTGTTAGGAGTAAGATAATGCTACACAAGTGGGCTGCATCAAAACCCACTTTAAGGATAAGCAGCAAAGTGTGTGGATCTAACGACCAGTCCCCTTATTCGGGAAGTCGTATTAGCCTTGCCCAGCAGGTTACTGTAAAAATCTCAGCACCGGTACAAAAAACACTTTTGCCAGTTAGTTGCCCACCAATTTTCCCTTTGACACCAGTAAAATATTTGATTATCTATTAACGGGGATATGTGCTGCACAGCACTGTGCTCTGTTCAGCAGCTATATAGCTGTGAGATATGAGTATCGAACAAAGACGATATGGAGAAGTCACAGGACTACAAGGGTAGTTACCTTGGAGACGTTCCTGTCATTTAGAGAAACCATACAGTGATATAGGGTAGCGTTAGGTGAGAAGTGTGAGTTGATGCATGTGGCTGTGAATACACAAAGAGATAAACATCTGGAGTATGCACTGTACCTGTTAAGTCACACTCAAACCAAACGCATAATGCTAGATGAAGTACAATAAGGTTGGAATAAAGTTAAGGATGGCAAGAAGAAGGTGTGGTATCTACTACAGGTCAAAACCGATGACAGTGGCACATATAAATATTGATTCCTCACTAGCCAGATTCTGAAGATTTTACCAACATTCTTTTACTTATTGATTTCCCTCTCATACTATTTATTTTAATTTGTTTTTGCCTATATGAACTATTTTCTTTCTGTGCTGCTGGTAAGTGAAACAATATGAACCACTGCACTTTTGTGTAAGGTTCTATGTTGTATATTTGAAAGTGACTTCACTGAATCATCATATCTAAGTAAATTTGTACATAGGTAATCAAAAAAACAATCACAATATATCGTACACACCTAGCTTGTACACGAATACGGAAATTTTCTTAAAGTAAGACGGTTTTTCGATAATTTAGTCTTCATACTGAATCCCTGTTGACTGCTTACAACAGTGTCCGATTATTACTATTGGGTATTAATTTTGATGCACATGTACAAGTGAAACTTTTTTATAAATAAACCTAAAATAACGTAAGACGGAAGTTGAATGAAAAATGAATTCAATGTACTATTCAAACACGGCTAATTACTTTCTTCACGAGTTCCATATTAGAAGGCCTTTCTGTTTTTTCTGGGTTATTAGCACCATCTGGATGGTCGGACTCGAGTAATCTTTTTTCAAACCAGCTCCCAGAAGCTCATCCATTATGCGACGTTTCGATTCGTCATATACACCACGTAGACTTGAATTCCAAAATAGGAAATCATGTATACTGACCTAAAACCAGGAGAGAACCATGCAAACTTGCGTGAGGAGGAAAACAGGTTTCCCATTAATAAAACTATCAATGCCAATATTAACAACATAAAAACTCAGAAACGATGAGTAAACGTCTGAGAAACTTTGATGACTCAACTACCAGGATGTTTTTAAAGTCCATTGTAGAGACTTATGGTAAAAATATCTCGTAGGCAATAACAAGAAAATAATGCTAAACAAAAATGACTTTCGTGTAATAAAATATTGACGAGCTGAATAGTCTTGTTGAATAATAATGATCGGAAGAATTTTCGGCAAGTGGTTTTACACCTACAGTTACAGGATGCCAAACAAGTAACAAAAGAGAAAGTGTTTGAACTTGAATTTCATTCAAATATTGCGAGAAATTTTAGAATATGCCAGACATAGGCAAATTATTCAATCTAAAATGCCATGGTAATAGTGGAACAGTGGCTTATTGATCTAGGCACTTAATTTATAACTAGCGGATCACCCTGATCCACTTGCCGAGGTTTACATAGACAAATGGTATCATTAACTTGCACATAATATGCATGAATAACTGCTTACCGCACAAACATAAACATGGTTTCTGAGTCCATTTTAATGTCTGAACTTTGATACCGACCAAAGTTTATCAAAAACTGAGACGCGATCACCTTACAATTTATACATCAGGTAATGTAAGATATTTCAATGCTGAAGATATGCTTTCACGAGCGAATAATCCGCAAATTTAAGTTCAGGACACTCGATTGATGATACTTAAGCATCAAGTAGAGAATGACGTTGCTCAGTCAAATAATTTGTGACATTATCTGGGCAACCACTGAAAATATGGATGAGTCTCCATCTTGGAGGAAACAGATGCGTAAAGGAAATGTTACAACTATGCTAACTGCAAAACTTCTTTAAAATTGAAGGAAGCACCTCAATTTTGCTATGAATAATCACGACTTCTGGGTTGGATATTGTAAATTCGCGAATAAAAGATACCTTTGAGAAAACTACGAGGGAAGATGGTTTTCTGAAAAGCTTTAGAGAGTATACAAGCTTCAACCCTTTCCATAAAGAAGCAAATTAAAGGTTAAAGAAAATGCTTCCAGTTGTCTATAATATGGCTGGGATTAATACAATAAGCAATTTAATTAATCAATGGAAAACGGTATTATGTAGGTGGTAGCTCTTTCCAAGTTATTCTCAGTGAGGCAGTTTTACTTCCTACTTTCATATTAGAAATACCGCACTTACTGTCATACTATGCGGAAAGAGGAAGAATGCAGACAGCATAGAATAATGCATCACCGTGAACAAAAGACCTGTTTTTAAGGAACACTTTGCGAGCAAACAAAAACTTATAAGATAACCTATACGCCACGTTGTATGTGATACATAGAAAGTGGTCGATATTGAACTCTACAGCAAGCAAACAAAGATGGAAACGTCACTGGTGGCCCCAATAATAAAAACTGAACTCTGTAGACACTTAATAACACAGGAATGTAGATGTGTTTCTCACAAATGCTAAAATAAATTAACTACCAAATAGAGTAAAGGTACTGTTTGCACAAATAAATACAGATCAGAAGTATAAAAATATCTTTTTCTGGTTTCCGCAGTAATAATAATGCAACAATAACAACGTAAAGATTCACCCACTACGTTGCGACACCTACCGAGCGAAAGTAAGGACATAATCAGTTTATCCAAACCGAGGTAACCACCGTAATGTTCAGATCCGCAACCCACTGGATAATACTTTAGCAACATCCAGCCCATAAACCACTAAGACAGTTCTGACTTAATAAAAATGTTTTGCTATCGCTGCAGAGGCGATCAGTGACCAGTTAAAAATACTTAAAATCAATTAGGCAGAAAGTACTACTTTGAACTTAAAATACCTCAAAACAAAAGATGTGCAGTATAATTTATTGGTAGCTGTGTTACATAAAGTCATGTCAGAATTTCGAAACTGTAGCAAAGTCCAAAGTGATGTATAAGGAATGATGGAGGTAATCCAAAGAAAAGCTACTTGAAAATTAGGTGATTGTATCCATTTAATCAACACTGGTATGAGAAAAACGAAAAAGAATTATAATATCTAACTTATAATTTGGGAATCACGCGAATTGGTTATTAAACCATTCTAGAATATTACTTCCAAAAAGAAAGTTGATTATTTTAAGACATGCAAAAGCGCAATCAACGGTTATGAAAGTTCCATAAAATTACTTACATTATTGTCAAGTAGTTTCTTAATAGTCGCCAATGTATTAGGATCCAAGTGCAATGACCGTGATGCCTCTTTCAAATATTCTTTATAGTGGGCAATAGTATCCACCGGCTATAATTTAAGAAGAAGGATTAAAATATATGTATAGAAAAAGGAAGCTCAAGAATCTATCAGTCACACCTTTATATCATACCACCTAGGCCCTAAGTATGACACTATTAAAATAAAGCAGGAGAGTACAATAAAAAGATGGTATCGATACATTTGACAAATATAACAGTCCAAAATGAAAATAAACATTTTCCACTGTAAAACTAAATTTCATATTATTCTTGTGAACTACTGTGTACTCAGAGTGAGACAAATTATTTGAACAGCTGACCCTGAAACAGTTCAAAAACGGGTAAAGGGAACGCCATACAAACAAAACAAAAAAATCATAAATACGTGATTCGTAAATGCTGCGTTACCATCCCAGTCGAAAAACTTAACATCAGCTCACCAAGGTGCAAGGTGAAAAGAGATAGGTCAAACAATAATGTCAGAAATCATAAGAGATTATTAGGAACGAATGAAACGATAACGAGAAAACGTGAGACTATTACTTAGATTAAAATAAAGTACGACAGAAGTTGAACCAGTGCAAACGATTTTGAATTAAACCACAATCATCGCTTTTACTTGTTTCGTAGACCACTGTTTACATCAACAAAGAAACAATTGATGGATTGTTGTCATCCCTTCACTCAAAGACCCTTAGTGGAACTGTAAGTCATTGGTTTAGGCAGTTGACTTTCAACTAATGAGTCGATTTTGAACACCACTCCACTTACCGAGGTTTGGGCAATAAAGTAGTATGATTAACCCTCACACAATAAGTGTAGCTCATTGCTTACTGCATGGATATTCACGAGATTGCTGAATGAGTCCCTCTTTCCCTTGGAAACCCTTAGCTTTCCAGCCTAGTTCAACGTAAGATAACAGTCTATATCGATAGACTGTCTGCATGTTATGACAAATGAGCAAACTTCTTTTCATTAGTTTCTCATTAGTGCATACAAATAAATGTTATGACAGTCTCAATCGAAGGTAAGACTCTATCGCTGTTACTTACATCATTTATATTTGCAAGTTACCGGGTACGTGTGTAAACACTTGGCTAAACTGCAGTTTGTCTTTTCAATTATAAGCATTTAACTAGTATTCCTCCTTAAGACATAATGATTGAAGGGAGTTTTCGATAAAAAATTTTGTTTGATAAAGACGAACAAATAAGAACGCGTATCAGATTAATCTTTTATATTTCGCAACATAAAAGAGGAAAATCAACAAGAGTAGAGAGAAAAAACGAATGAGGACACAACTGTAGAGACAATAAATGAATGTGACGAGATGTGTTATATTTCTGTAGTTAAAACCCGAGTAAATATGCGCCATTATGGTAGATTTTCGAATTATATAATGTCTTACATACACAGGTCAGATCAATCATCTGGTACTGTAGGCCAGTAGATGATGTTACCACAGAACATGCAAACGAAGTGTTATTCCGCATCTCTAACACCCACATCAAGTGTCGATTTACAAAGTCAAACAGACACTAGTGTTCGAAGCGCTATTTTCCAGCCAAACTTTATGATGAGATTGTAAAGTCTGAATGCTTCGTTTAACCTCAGAGGTTACAGAACTACGTTAAGCAGATTCGCGATAACAGTCTGATTTGTCTTGCGGATGGTTTACAAAAAAGAACTTCCTCAAGCTTGATTCTCGTGGCGAAGCATAAAGGGCATCCGAAGGAATCTGGAGACCGGTGGGTGGAATCCTGCCGCGACTCAGGCTTTCATCTTCAATTAACGCCTTATGTCCGAAAAAAATTCCATAAATACTTTCTAATACATAAATTTGGGCCGTAAGAGCAAATATTACACCCAATTACTACCACACAAGCATGATAAAAGGAACCCCGTCTTGATTTACTCCTCCTAACACAAAAACGAACTGCAAAACTTATGAGTAGACTGAAGGTTGAAATAAGCAAGAATTCTGGGTGGTAGATCAAAACCAAGGCTTAAAAATAAAACCACGAACGAATTGGCGTCCTTGTAACAAAAAATGAAGTGAAAACGTGGGACTTGAAGAGGATAAAATAGGTGAGGAATAGTGATGAGCAGATACGCATGAAAATCAGATCAAATGGCCTATATTAATGCTTCAATCGATTACCCCTAAACGATAACTTGGACGAAAAACTGGTGCTCTGCAACATACTCCAACAAAGACTAAGAAGTGGTAATAATCTAATGCAGTGCAAAGATACAGTAAATGTGACTCGGCCCCTAAATGACTTCAAGGGTAATAGTACAAAATCTATTAACAAGATCGATAAAATAAAATGCACAAATTTTGTTGATTACTCCACACTGAAAGTCAAAAGGAAGTTTGAAGAGTAGCAAATAATCGCAAACATTCTCCAATAAAACATCAAGAAAAGTAAACGTGACGACGGTGATGGAAATCATGACAGTATTCCTTGATAAACAGATCATTTTGAGGCATTCCAAGGGTTATACAACAGCCAGGTCATTGTAGACAACCACCTACTAGACATGGTGTAGGTGAGCTAAACAAAGGACAATGAAGCTATGCGAAGCAAGTGTCCTCCGATTGTCACGTTCTCAGATTTACTGATGTATACGAAGGATAGTGGTTTGGAGAGCACGTCAAGTTTTGGCGAGAGGGATGAAAACTTATCAACAACAAAACCACCTACGAAAGTATATGAGCTACAGGTCTCATACAGCTAATCCACTCGACTGAAAAAGGTACATACAATTACAGAAAATAAAACAAGACCTGAGGCAATAAAAAACAAGTTTGAACCACTAAACGACAGCCAACCATACACATGTAACGAATCTGAACTGTGATAAGTAGTTAAAAATGTGCACCAAAACAAAAACCAGCTCCCATATCATAGCTAACTGTGAAAATACCATGCACAACTCTGTGAAAAACCAATATTCTTTCACAGAGTCAAATGAAGCGAAGACTTATAACGTGTTGACCTGGAAAATGACTTTGGTAGGGCCAAAACCTTGTTGAACCAGCTTCTAACGAGAGATGTATAGGAAGTTATCTTGCTTGAAATAAAAAGTCGAAGAAACTTTTCTGGACTTCATCGAAAAAGAAATGCGGCTACTTAAAATTGTGCTTCAGTGTAGAACTGTGAGAACGGTCTAAAAACTGCATTGAACTGTAGTCACAGTTTTCAAAGAGTTGCATATTTCTGATTGCACCAAAAACAAAACCTTGACTGGGGATCCGGACCAGATATATGGCAGTGTAAAGAAACTTCGTAAATGACCAACACTGAATACTTTATAGAAATGGCAAAGAACTCCAAGATGATCCCGGATTCTCATACAGAACAATCTCATACTTGTATTATTCACTCAAATTCCAAAGCTCATAAATCCTCGTATTGCAAGCACTGAAAAATAAACAGTTTTCGAATCCTTAAGGACCATCACCGTGCAACAACTCAGAAGCACCGAAGTGAAAAACTCAGAGAACCAGCTAGTTAGAAACTCTGACCAATGCAATTATTTAGATCACCTCTTATTAGGCTCTTGGACATACCAACGGTTGCCGAGACTCAGCTTTGTGATATTTCTTGAAACCAAACCGGAGCATGACGGTGTTGATCAAGAAGTTATGTAACGGTTTCTGAGCGAATAGCCTGAGTGACATCACATTGATGCAAGCTGTTTACTTAAATACACTCAAGTGTGTAACGGCGTGTGGCATTGTTATCTGAAGTAAAGAAAATCAGTGCTACTTGACAGGAGGGTTCCCCATCATCATCCCCTTTTTGTTTAATTTCTACTTCTAATGGTGACATTATCTACTTCCAACTTCTTAAAGGGTTATTTTCTACCCATCGTCTCTAGTAGAACTAAATCAACAGGAAGTAATGAACACGGCATAAATTTTTAGCCCTCTAAGAAGCAGCATTTTAAATTACAGAGGAAGAAAATGAAACAAATGAAAATAATGAAAGTAGTAATAATAAAAAACTGTAAGATAATAAAAAGAATGCAGCCAAGGCGGCAAAAAAACGACGTCTTTGAGATCCACGTGGAGTTACAGCATGCATAAGTTTGCATTACTACCGTCGATTGGCAACCATATCATCTGGTCTCCAAATTGTTATCCACAGCCCAGACCAGAAGCCAAAAAAGTGACGGACTGATACCAATTCTTCATCCAAACACTCTCAGCCTTCCTCTGACTTACTCTACTTCTTGCAGCATTATGCGCTGAAGAAGACCATGTGCAGAGACGAGTGGTTAATTTCACAGCTGACTGATAACCTCATCAACTAATTCTTCTTTCATATCTAACACTGCGCCTAACCGGCATACTTCAGGAGATAAATCAACCATACCCTGGTGGTGCTACGGAGGCTATAGTGGTCAGCAACACAGAGCCTTCACAAGTTCTTCACCTGGATATATTTTGCCACCATACAGCATGAGTAAACCCTTATGCAGCATGCTTTATAATAAATAGATAGAAGAATGTTTCACGAGCGTCGCGAGTGGCGCAAGTTAACAAAATCCAATCTAATGTTGTGTGCCTGTATTACAATTTCAGTGACCATGAACCCAAACAATTAGAGTGGTAAGCAGTTCTTAACTACATCAAATATCGAGATAGAATTAGTTGAGTGCGTATATCACTCTACCTATTGGACCTGGTTAACTAGTTCACTAGTTACTAGCCGGTCCGAAGCCCGGGTATACAGGGAAGGTTGGGCATAGGGCTAGCAACCCCACCCCGGAAAACAAATCTAACCGCTAAAGAAACTTCAAAGCACAAACGATATATAAAAAATAATAACAAAATTATTCCTCGCTGGAATCGGAGAGGCGAAATAACACCAGTTGATGAAAGCCTCAGGGAAGCCAATTGGCCGATTTGTCTTCTCTCGATGAAAGCGAAAGTACACGTGGGGACATGGAGTGTCCGCACCATGTTTGAACCCAGCAAGGCAGCTCAGATTGCAAACGAGATGAGAAGGTATCACATTGAAGTGTTTGGAATTTACG